TCCCCTAATTGCTTCTTTACACTCAGGTTCCAAAGTCAATCTTATTTTTGGTTGAATCCTTTCATTTTGTGTTCTTTCCATTGTTTCCTGTATATGGGTTAATGTTTGAGGCTTTAAACATTTATGCTATCCGGATTACAGTTTCAAATTTTACCTTTTTTTTTAAATTAGAATATGCTAGTTATTCTTAAAACAAATCAGGCTTCAAAGTAAAACAAATTATGCATAATTTTATAAAATATTTACACTGGTGTAAACTTTGCTTTGGTAACCTGGGGGACTATTTAGCACACTTTAGATGGGGAGACATATTGCTCTTAAATTCAAAGCCAAAAGTTGGGGGAGGAGTAAATGAAATAGCTACTAGGAGATGCAATTATCCAGGAAGCTGTGGAGAGTTTATAATTGGCTACATGGATATTTTTGATACCAATATAAGGTCATGTGCTTTATAATATTACTTAGTTCACTAGCATGGCTTATATTTGTTTTATTTTCTTCTATAATTTCAAGTTATAGTTATTACTACTACTTATTTAACAATGCAATATTTACTCCAGTTAGGAAATTCATGATACTAATGGAAACTCTAATAGGTATTTTTAAAAATGCAAGGCAAGCTACGGTTAGAGTGCTGTTTAGTTATGCTGGCCAAATGCAAGTTGTACGAACTTACATTTTCAAAATAATAAATAACTTGACAATGGATTTCAAAGCATTATTTTCATGTCATCACTTAACATTGGTCTTCCATGTTTTAATGATTTTTAAGTTTCATGAGGAAAATAATCCCAAGAAATAAAACTTCATTTCTGTATCTCTTTTGAATGAAATTTGAAAAATAATGAATGTATAAGGTGTTGTCATTGATGGGCTTTAAGGAAACTATAAGTGCCTTAATTCTAAAATGCAGTTTCTTGTCTCGCACATGCTCCTGGAACTTAAAAATTTAGATACCAAAATAATTTCCTTAGCACAGTTGCTAAAAGGAAGCTTAGGTGGCTAAAATGTCAGGAGAAGATAGAACAAACAGTGTTGTGCAAAATTTTGGGGTGGAAAGAACATTGAATTAGGAGTCAGAAGACAAGAACTTAAGCCCCAACTTTCCCACTTATTTCCTGCATCCCCTTGAGGGACTAAGGTGACCTAGGTATGTGCTCTGTACTCACCAATATTACTCTCAACTTTGTAATTCTCACAATAGCATAAGAAAATATGAATAACCTCAGAAGTGTGGAAACTGAAAACTTCAAATTGGAGTTAAAGAGGGCTTAAATTAAATCAAGTACTAAAGTAATCCAGTCTCAATGGTATGCAAATAACCTGAAAATTTACCAGTGTTCCTCCAGTAAGTCCCCAATTGGGAGAACAGACCACAGTATCTTGCAAAAGTGAAAATGTTTAATGGAAGGTAATGCAAGCCCCTCTAGTTTTCAGTAACAGCATGAGTAATTATATTATACCATCACATTTGTGTGTGTGTGTCAGTGTGTGTGTGTATTTTTAATGGTTTTCATTAAATTTAAAATAAAGAAAGAAATTATGTAAATCCCAACTCAAATTCACACATAAATTCAATTTCTTGTCAGTGACTATGCTCTCCATTTCAAAGCAACCTGAAGGATAAAGATTTCAATATGAATGAACTTTGGTTTTAATGTAATCAAATCACTTCAGTCTGAACAAACTAGAATGTGTTCTTAGACTCTAAATCAAGCACTGCTTAAATATGTAATGGAATTTTATATGCACTGCATGTAAAAATGCACCATAATACAATACACAAACACAATTGTACACACACACAATCAATGTGCTGTGCTTTCCAAATCAAGTCAAACATGTTAATGTTGAATTTGAAACTCTTCATTTTATGGAGCTAAATATGTATATTTAGCTAATCAATATTCTGAAGCAACGGATTGAGATTTGTAATATATTTCTGTTTGGAATAATTATGTTGAGATACACATTTTCAGCATACAGATGTTAAAAGAAAAACTGAAGTGCATACTCTTACTAAAGTCATGAGAGCATATGATTTAAACACAACAAACAAAACAAAAAATTTTTGAAGGGCCATATTGTCCAATGATTTTTCAAAAAATTGTATGGTAAAATATCTGTTTAGAAATAATTATTAAGCACACTGGATTGACTCTTAACCAGATTTTCATCACGAATGCCAAACCAAGTCAAACTTTTGGAATCATCTGGAATGGATACTATTCTGACAAAGTGGTTCAAAAATTGGACTACAGAAATACATTATGGGATGCAGTTTACTAAAACAAAAGTACCTGCATGGAAGGTCTGGTCTACATATTCAACATTCACAATTATTTACTGAGCACCTCTTTTGTGCCTGTCCTTGTTTTAGATGCTTCAAATTTACCTCCGAAAAGAATATATAAAACCTCGCTCTTCTTTCAACTTATTTTCTATTGGGAGATGACAGAGAGGAATAAATGACACTTTATGTTAGAAAATAAAAATAATAAAGCAAGGAATAAGGATAAGGAGTGCCTGGTGGGTGTTATGGGAGGGAGGGTAAGAGACGTTCAGAGAGCAGGTGACATCTGAGTGAAGATTTAAAATAGGTAGGGAAGTAAGCCATGTGGAGATGGAGAAGACAAGAATTTCAGGCAGAGGAAATAGCAGGTACAAAGGTCCTGAGGCAGAAAGAGGCCTGGGCTGTTTTCAGGTCACAGCAAGGACACCAGTGTCATTAGGTGACATGGAAGTTGAGCCAAGAGACGAAGAGAGTAGGGTAGGTTCTATGAGCCTCTTTGGCTTTTATTCTCAGTGATACAGGAAGTAATTGAAATTTATGAGCAGAGATTACATCATCTGACAAGTTTTAACAGGATCACTCTACCTTGTGTGGTGCAATTTTATTAGGAAACTAGACAGAACTTTCACAATTAAAGTTTTCTAACTTTTAAAAATGGCTTTTGGACAACTCATATAATTCACATGTGGAAATGGTATGTGCTTTCTAAGTGTTGAGTGCATATTTCTTGTTGTTTTTTCTTTTATTGAATGTAGAAAAGACTATTATAAATGTATGCTTGTTACTTCCACTTTAATGCCACTCACCTGTCACATAAGTAAAAACGTTCCTTTCCATAATGTATGTAAATTACAACTCTTACTAGTGCTTTTCACCTCTGTCGAGGTCTGCTCTGAAGGAGGTCTTCTCTAAATTTTCTTGCACATATTCCATGCTCAGTCCTGCCTCTGCCTCTCCGCCCTTACTGCTTCTCCTGCCTGGAACACGGTCCCCATCTCCTTTCTGCCTGCCTTTCAAAGCTTAGTTGCCACAAAGACTTCACCAATTGTTTCCCGTGCTATTCGCCCCCTTTATGAAATCCTCACACTCAGAATATACATTACTGATATTTGACACCTATTTGTATATTTCATTCTGTTTTCAGACAGTTTCGTGTGTTTACTTTTTTTTTTTTTATCTAGCCAGGGATCTCCTGGAAAACTGGGTCCATGTCTCTTTCCTCAGATGTTCAATAAGTACCTGATGGTTTGTTATTTGACCCACTTCAACCCATTTCTATTACTGTGTCAGTCACAGCGAGACTAGGCCATTTGAATCTGGTTTTCAGTGAAGGGATGGCACTAGGAAGCCTGAGGGATGGGTGGTGGCAGAGCCAGCCAGGTGAGGAAGCTCTTTGTAGTGTTGGGGGTGCAGGGCGTCCGTGTCGCTGTTGCCTTTGCCAGGCGCTGAGTAGCTTGCTTGCAGGATGGACCCATGCTTTTCTTGCTATCGCATCAATTGAAACAACAGTCGATTTATGTGTCTCTTCAGCCGCTATAACTTCAATATGTGTTTTGTCTTCTTGCTTATTTTTCACAATGCCTACTTCTTGGTAGCATCCTTTGCAAACACAAAAAGCTCTCCTGTTGGAAGTCATTTTTGATTATGTATTTTAACATATTATAGTCCACTGTAATAAGCAATTAATTGATTGACAGAAAATAATTAAATACTTTATTTTGGGGTTGATATATGATATTAATTATGGATTCCTAAGCACAAAATATACACATTCAAAAAACCAATTATTATATATGTTTCTATTATTTGTGTGTAAGATCAAAGCATACTAAGGAACAGAGAATACATTTTTAATATAGTCCTGGCCAGGTATATTAACAAGAAAACAAACTTGCTATGTCACTAATGAGCAAACTCAAATTGGTTTTGTAAATGGACGTCAATTCTAAAGGCTCAGTAGTAGGGACAGGGATTATAGATGCATTTGTCAAGGCTCTTTACAACTTTTTATTGTCAGAAACAAACATCTGTTGTTATTGAAGTGTTTCGCTTTCATTAAAAACAGCAGTGGTTATAAATGGAATTGAGTGTATTATTGAATTTCAGACCTTGCATTCTTTGTTGTGATAGAAGTCTATTTACCTTAGCGTTCTCTTCAAATGAGAACTAACTTTGTAGTCTAATCAAAGAACTAACTGCTAAGATAGCCACCTGGACAAGAGAGAGAGTTCTAAAACTAAGCACATCTTTTGAATGCTGCTAAAATGACCAAATTTATCTCCTGCCTCTATATACAGGCATTTCCTCTACCATTGAAATAATAAGGGAAGACGAGCAAGGGGGATGGAAGAAACCACATTTAGACCCCATAATGTATACTTGAATATGCTTATGTGGGCAATTTTCTTGTTAAAGGGATATTTGCTGATAATATAATTCAGCTTCTTAGTCCATTAACATTTAATGGTTGAATTTTAGTGAATAAATGTTAGGGGGAAATTATTTTTAGATGTCACTGTTTAATTTCTAATAAAATCAATGAGTGATTTGCATGTATTACTTAAAGGAAGGAGGAATTCTGTTATTCTATATTATCTCATAAAAAGTTTATAAAGGATTATTTGATTTATTTAAAAATAATGTAATTTAAAATAATCACAGCCATCTTTTGCCATTTTACCTGACTAACCTCTGTTATACACTTCAGGCATGAACTTCTAGAGGAAGCTCGAAGGAAGGGATTACCTTTTGCCCAGTGGGATGGGCCCACAGTGGTTGCATGGCTAGAGGTAAGAGAATTCAACCAGAAGGCTCTTGATTCAATCACTACTAATTTGGTAGTTTTTGTTGTTGTTGTTGTTTTAGAGAGACGGCTAAAGGCAGGTTTTGAAGTAGCTTTCCAATAGACTGTAATATCTCAGAAAGGAAATATTGCTTTTTCTAGGGACCTGTGAACATTGCAATGTAACTGTATTGCTTTCTTGTGCTAGTGGCTGAAGTTCATACCCAGTGGATAAAAGGGAGTTTCTCTAAATCCCACCCTCTTTATGTCTTGAGTAAGAGAATAATCAGTTTGTGTGTGTGTGTGTGTGTGTTTTTAATGGTAAAATAGACGTTTTATTTATTTGTATGTAAACTTATAAACCAACCAGCCAAACTGGTACTATTGTCATGACAGCAAAATGCAAAAAAACATCTTTTACAAATACTTGAGTAATAAACAAATTAAAGATTGTAAGACAGCAAAGGGGGCAGAGGAAATCAGTGAAGCATATTATAGCTTAACCATTCACCTGAACTGAGGCTTTTAACAAGCCTCCCAATCCCAGACAACATGAGTAATCCTTTATCACACACCTTTGTGCTTTTACTGTCTATTTTTGAGGTTAAGATTCTAGATCTAGAGTTATCCAAATACTAGATCTAGTATTATATCTAATTATCTATAGCCAGAGGCATCTTTTATCATTTGTCTAACAGCAGCAAGACTACAGAAGCCTCTTTACTTTGACTCCAATCAGACCCAACCCCTACCCTCCAAATTGGCACAGTAGGCATGAGAAGCAGCATATCAAGGCAGAGATACGTAGAAAAATCCCAGGAGAGGTAATACAGCCACTACCCAAACTGAGATTGAGTAATACACCCATCATCACACTATGTTTATGGCTATATGTTCATGAACTCAGGCTATACGTTCAGGGAATAATCTGGGAATAAATCCGCGGATTGCAGGGTACCATAATATTTAGGGGCTTGCAGTATTGCATCATAGGTTTCCCCAGCAATTTCCAAGGAGGCCTCCAAATCACTGACAGGATTTTGCTGGAACTGGATCTGGGGCTGCAGGGATTCCTCTCCATAACTACAGAATTGGCTGTTCCAGGCCTGGTTATTCCAGGCTTGGGGACACCAGGTCTGACCATTCCAGGCAGGGTAGTTCCAAGATGGGCTGGTCCAGGAATGGTTGCTGCATATGGAAAGGTTTCCAGCAGTGTTCACCAGGCATCCCTGATGACAAGAGGAGAGGCCCAGGTAGTCTGTAGTTGCTGAGCTCATCTGGGTCACAGGGTGGCTATTCTTGGGCCAGTTGTATTTCCGCCACCTCTTACACTTCATTCTCTGGTTCTGGAACCAGGTCTTAATCTGTTTGTAGCTAAGGTTCCGGATGTTGGAAAGTTCTTACATCTGCTGGTGGCTGAGATATTTCTGTCTTTGAAATCTCTCATTGAGTACTCAGAGCTGGGTCTGTGAGAATATGGTTCGGATCTTCCCTCTCTTGACCTGGGCTTTCTCCTCCTTCCCTGCCCTGTTCTCTACAGAAGTGAGTAGTGTTGCACTGGGACTGCTGGGACTGGTGGAAGAATCGGGGCTGTCCAGTCTCTGTGTAGTGTCTCAGCAGATGACATTTGCAAGGATGCATCGTTTTCTTCAGGCTCATAAATCTCAGGCACTGGTGAAGGCTCCCTAGATTTGGATGGTTCGGAGCAGGGCAGGCTTTGGGGATAAGCCGAATCCACACTCCTGTTGCTGAGTTGAAGGAGAGAGAAAAAAACACCAAAGAGCTAGAGTGTAAGAAAGACCCAGGCTTCAGTATTTGGCTAGAAGAGCTTAGAGAAATATGAAAATCTCCTGATGTAAAAGTACAAAAAGACGGGAGAAAATGGATCAGCTTTGCAGTGACAGGATCCAACCAGTCAATTTTGCAAAAAGATAAAAATTTGGAGGCTCCGGATTTATAAAGGAGGCTCAACCAAATTTAGGCCTGCTCTCTGGCAGCCCCACACCCACACACACCCTTGCAAATTCTGTTAATCCTGTCTGAGAATAATCAGTTTTTGAGCCACACTTTTGTTGTTGCAGAAAACATCAGTTCCAGCCCATAGGGTCCCTTCTCATCAGCAGGCTTCAGAGAAGAGCCATTTCTTGCATTCTCCCAAAAGATACCACTGCCACCTAACTGCAGAGAACTGTTCCTTTGCTTATGGTATTATTCCTGAGCCCAATTCTCTAACGCCTATGGACCAGCTAGATTTAACCACTTGAAATAAAACGGAAGATGTATCCCCTTTTTCCCTTCTGTGTCTAAACTGAATGTTATGATGAAACAAGAATTACATTCAGCATTCCCTGCACAACGCAGGGGGCTGGGAAAATTCAGTAATATCTGAGCAGGGTGGAGGGGATCAGGAGCCCAGTAGGACAATTCCGGAAATACATACTTCACCACAAGGGGTCCCTCATGCTACTTATCAGGAGTGTTCTATTTAGTTCAGTAGAGTGGGCTTCTGGGATATGCCAAAGTCAGGGCAAAGAAGAACACAGGCTTTTCCTGCCTGCCGGAGGCAATTAGAACTCCTTGTTTCCAGTGGTTTGGGATTATAAAGTTACCCACATTCATTAGCATATCATACCCAGAGCAGAAGAGTTGATCAATGAGAAAAAATTAAAACCCCTATGAGTTTTGAAAATGGTCTTATATAGATAGATATGAAAACATTTTTTTTTCCCTTGGCCTGGAAGAAAGAAGCTCTGTCTTGCTTTATTTTACTTTCTCGTATCAGGGCTTTTTTTTTTTTTTTTTTTTTTTTTAGCATTTTAGTAATCAGAGCTGCTTCTTCCAAACAGGTCTTTAAAATTTCTATATTTTAGGAATAATTTATAAAACGAAATGCTTCAGGAAGCACCCCTCAAATTTGATAGCCCTTCTTTGATCAGCATCGTTCCAATAAAGTGAGCTATACTTTGACAGAGAGCTGCTATTTTGGCAAGTGAAGAAAACAATTATTTTAATAAAATAAACATATTTACTGACTTTAAAGGGCTAGGAAAGGACAGACAGTAAATTTGTGCTAATTAAACATATCTGAGCATACAAAAATTGCTCATAATGTGCTTCTTAAAGTGACTCCGGTTCTAAAATGGAATAAGTAAGATAAATGAGCAGGGTGAACAATGAATGAGAGCTCCTAACTCTCACCTCCATTAGCACCTCCTGTGCATACAGCTGCTGAGAATGATGCAGAGAAGTAAGCCTGGTGCTTCATACACCATTTATCCACCCCCAAAACTTTCAAAAGTCTAATCATAGATGACATTGATAACAGTGTATGGACAAGCATTTGGATAAATCCAAACATTTCCGCGAGTTGTTTTGTGTTTTGGTTTTGTTTTGTCTTTTGTTTATTTTGGTTTGGTTTGGTTTGGTTTGGTTTGGTTTGGTTTGGTTTTGGCGGGGGTTTTGAAATCCAAATATCTTACTTAAAAGAGAGGAAGTGGAAAATGACTAGTGTCCAGCAAAGGTATATGGAGATCTTTAGTTATTTTGAACAACCTGTGTTTATAAACTAAGAGGACAAGTGCCATCTTGAGTTGTATCTAATCATATCTGTCTAGGTAAGGTCAGTTCCTTGGCCTAGCCTGCTGGAAGAGTATATAAGATTCAGTCAAGCACTATACTACTAACAGATCCCCTCTGTCCTTTCTTTATTTCAATCACAGCCTAATCCACATTGACTCAAAGACTTGGCTTTTTGTTTCCCTTATAGAGACAAGTAGCCTTTCAATGTGGTAGACTTTTTAAAATAAAGGATATCTGTATGAGTTACCTAAAACCACGTAACAACTTATCTCCAGACTGAGCATTTATTTTTCCTCATGACTTCTGTGGGCCAGGAATCTGGACATGGCTTAGCTACAACCTCTCTTCAGTCTCTCACCGCCAGCGTGGCAGTGTTCTCAAGGCTTGACTTGGGGAGAATACACTTTCAAGACGACTCCTGTTTTCACAGTCATGATGCAGTGTCTTGCTGGCCGTTGTCCAGAAACATCTGTTCTTTGCCATGTGGGCATCTTCATGGGGCTTCTCACAACATGGAAGCTGGCTTC